GCATGAGCGCTGCACTGAAGTAGCATCCTGAAATTATGGAAGTTGTAAAAGTTATGCCATAGGGACAATGACAAGTTGGGTTAGGCAAGTAGCTATTGGTGCTTGGATGAAGGATGAGAAAAATATGAGCCTGAAGGCCAAACCATTTTGTGGTTGGCAAAGTACACAGGGTTAATTGTGGAAAGCTTGATGATGCATAGGTCAATGTCCAGTTATGGAAGAGAGTGTTGGCTAAAGTGATGTTAAAAGTAATAGCTTTAAGCTTGTAAACAAAGGCGGGAGAGGAATAGTTTGGTTCCGAGAGTGTTGGCTAAAGTAAGGGCACCTAATGCGTGACGTTTTAGCTTTCTTGAGCCATCTGTGTCAAAGACCTGTAAACACAACATAGATCCATCCATCCAATACTCTTTTCTGCTTTTAACACCTCACACCTAGAACAAGAGTAACTACAATCAACCAAATCATATCTTCATACAGCTCTCCCCAGTTCATTATGAGAAACTTGAAGAAGTTTTCCTTGATGATTTTTGAAGGGCTCACCACAGCTTCAGCAATATTAAAAACCACAATCAAGGTCAATGCTATACCTTAAAAAAGAGGATTTCAAATTCTGCAGTACCATACCCCCTAAAAGTATAAATGAATACTGTATGGGGGTTCCCACAACATGTTTAAAATTAATGGTTTCATTAGGGTTAAGTTGGGTAAGAAATAAATATAAACTTACTTTTAATGATTAAGGTTTAATCTATATATAACAGGGCTTCTCAAGCTTTGCAACTATTCATTGCAGGTTTGTTCAGGCAAAGTGAGGAGCAAGTTTGGAGCAAATATTGGCAGCATTCCCACTTTGCATAATCCTTTTTTTTTTTTTTTAATATGCAACCCTCCTCTAAGATGCTTGCAACCCCAGGAAAGAAGCACAATCTACTTTCTGAGAACTCATGCTTTAAACCAAAAAACCTTAAGATTATAGTCATCTGAAAAGGTAAGTAGGGATTTTTTTCCCTTCTATTTTAGACTGCAAGCCACATCACAGAATGTTAGTTTCCAACAGACTGAAGTACAATGGTCAGAACGTTATAGTTAAATAGCTTAGGACCAATAGCTTAGTGACTAAGAATGATCTGAGTTATTCCAATGTTACCTGGAGGGGCAAAAAGTTGGAGAAGCCTGTAACACATGTTCTAATATTATTAATATCATGGAATTGGGCATTCACGCATATTTTGTCAGGCAATATTGTGTAATTCAATATTGCCTGACAAAATATATTTTCTCCTAATCAGCACAATATTGTGCTGATTAGAAGAAAAAGACATACTAGACTAAAAGACTTTCACTAATAAAGTATGGATTGATATTTTCTATGGCAAAAAAGCTTCTTTTTTTTTGCATACAAATTTGCATACACAATACACATAAGATATTTTTGTTATTACAAAAAATACTAGCTCATTCATTCAGCAGTACATAGTCATAAAAAACAGATGAAAGGCCAGGGTGGGATGGTAAAGGTAGTCAGCAAACTATAGCAACTATACATATTTAAAGAAATAGAAATGGAAGAAAAATCACACCCAGTATGTCACAATTCTCCAATATTAAAGCCCTAAGAAACAGAGAAAAGATAGTGACTCCGCAAGCCCTTTGATGGCCTAGGACCACCTCATAATTTATGAGCGAGATTGACTGGTGGCTTTGTTTGTTTGTTATTCAATTTGTAAAGACACCCATCTCAAATCAGTGACTCTGGGATATCAAAATCTCCCTGCATGTGATATGCTATTGATTGATTGATTGATTGATTGATTGATTGATTGATTGACTGGTATGTCACCAAAATCATACAACTCATGGTGGTTTACACCAATAAAAAATTTAAAAAAACAAAACATTTAAAATCCCAATAAAGAAAAGTGAAAATAATATAAAGAAGAAGAAGCACCTGATAGCACCAAACCAATAATAGGCAATTTCAGCTTTCAAAGGGCCTGCAGAACATAGGTAGTCCCCAGTTTAAGAATGAGTTCTATTCCAGAGGTCTGTCCTTAAGTCGAATTTGTGAGCAGGAACAGTATTATTGTATAATACTGCATAAGGCATCAGGCTAGAAACCAGGAGACTGTGAGTTCTAGTCTTGCCTTAGGCATGAAAGCTGGTTTGGTGACTTTGGGCCAGTCGCTCTCGCTTAGCCCACATCAGGCTTGGGCAACAAGCCAGTTGGTCAATTCCTGTTGCAACCGAATGAACTGATGCTTGGTTGATCCAAAAAAAAACCAGACCCTGCACCTGCGGGAAAAACACTAGGATGAAAAAAAAACCCTGTATAAGTGATATTGTGTAATGAACTCGAACCATTGTGTATTCAACTCGAACCACTGTGTATTTAACTCGAATTTTGCTACAATAGACTCCGTTCTTAACTATGGGTCGTCTGTAACCTGGGCATTCTTAACCTGGGGACTACCTGTAGCTCTGTCTTGGGGGCTTTGCAGAAAGATGCTAGAGATGACACCAATCTGACCTCTAAAGGGACATTATTTCACAAAGCGGGAGCCACCCCACCACAAAACACTGGCCTCCCTTTATAGACAGACTATTACCAGAGAAAGGTTTCTAGTCCTGACCTTGGATTATTATTCCATGTTCCCTCCAGATGTTTGAATAGCTCTGGGAGACAAGAAGAGCTCTAACAAGAGGCAAAAAAGTGCCTCCTGAAACAAAAAATCAACTCAGGCATGAGGAATAGAAAAAGGAGCAGGAAAAACATGGGTTCCTGCTCCCCTTGGTTTTAGCACCCAATTTTGTGCAGAAAATGAACCCAATTCAACCTCTTTTAAAGGAAATCTAGTTTGTAGGTTGAGAAACTGCGATGGTAAGAAAAAGCAGTTCTTGGCTGATAAATACATTATCTATACAATTTTTAATAGAAGTAGCTGTTCAGATTATTAGCTCTTAGAACAGCTCCTCTTTATAGAGAACTTGCAGGTATAGCTTTCTTCAGAATCCACTACATTTCCTTTGCAGAGCCAGCAGTCAGACAACCGTCAGAATTAAGAATAAAATTTTTTGCCCATAGGACAGTAAAGCTGCCCAAGGGAAAAAAAGATCTTTTTCCCAATAGCCTCACGATGCAATCACTGGTCTACAAATCTTAATAAGAAGCTGTTAAAGTGGCAGAGCCATAATGCTCCTAAAGCCCACTTATCCTTATTTGGCAGGACTATTCCTAATCTATGCTAGCCAGGCTGGACAAGAGGAACGTAAGGAATAGGCCTTGTCTTCAGTTAAATTTACTGGCCTGAGTGTGATCTCATCAAGGCCGCAAAACATTTTCAACTCTCTCTTGAGTGAGCCTTCCTTCTCTCTGGCTTATGAATGATCCTGGGCAAAATGCCAAAATCTTTAGAACAGCATTTGATGTACGCTCTTTTACCAAACATCAGTCTCATGGCCACTAAGCAAAACAGAGAGCCAACTGCTGTGATTGTGCACACTAGTAGTTTTGCTTGAACTCTGAACATGGGAATCTGGTTTTACCTTGGTTACCATATCAGGCATGGTTGTCACAGAGCTTTCTAGTCTGTGTAGAGCCAAATTAAATGTGATAACATAGAGCTCTGCATGTGCATGAACATGTGACGTTATCTCCATCTACTGTAATTGACTACAATTTTATCAGGAGATGGGATCTAATGAATGGGCAAAGGGGCACATTTCTTTTACTAGACACTCTAGAACCTGGCTAAGACAAAACTATTTGGAGAGAGAAAAGTGAAGGAAAAAAGAGTCACTCCTCCGATAAACACAACCTTTTGTTTCATAAATCAGACAATCCAGACTGGAATATAGCGAACAGCCTGCTGGTTTGACCCTTAGGCAGTGCACAGTGTTCTTAAAAAATGTCTTTAATTTTAGTGGAGCATTTGATACAATTCTTTCCACAAAAAAGCCTAAATTGTTGCAGCACTAGAAACACTCAATTTGTAGACCATAAAGGGCCAAATGTGATTAGGAGCAGGGGAATTTACAGGCCTCCTAACAGGATACAGTCCTGAATACAGGTAGTCCTTGTTTACTGACCACTCATTCAGTGACTGTTCAAAGTTACAATGGCGCTGAATAACGATAATCATGACTGGTCCTTGAAGTTGCAGCTGTTGCAGTGTCCCCATGGTTACATGATTGCAATTCGGGCTCTTGGAAAACAGCACATATTTACAACAGTTGCAGTGACCCACGGTCACATGATCGCCATTTGTGACCTTCACAGCCAGCTCCTGACAAGCAAAATCAATAGGAAACCCAGCAGGAAGTCGCAAGTTGCGGTCACGTGACATCGCGCTTTACTACCGCAGTTGGAACTGACAAATTGCCATCATAAGTCAGGCGTGGTCACTTGATTTTTCACTTTACAACCATGTCGCTTAGCAATAGAGTTGCTGGTCCCAACTGCGGTCAGTAAGTGAGGACTACCTGTATAGTGCTGTCTGCCTTTTCACAGCTATACTATTACTTCTTTTCTGGTTCAGGCAAATTATAGGCAAAGGTGGCTGAGCATTGCTTATGTTCTGCAGTGCACATTAAAAAAGCATAATCTCATAGTTTGATCTTAGCTTGTATTAATTAGTCTATTAGTATAGCTGTAGACCAGGGATGCAAAACCATGGTCTACGGATTACAGGTGGCTTATGGAAGTAGTCTATAAGACCCACCATTGCTCTTGTCCAATCCCAAGCAGCCCATTCATCAATTAACCAGTTGACAGGAAGAGACCAGCTTTTGCTGAGAGGAAAGGAAAATCCAGTGACTACCCTGCTCCTCCCAAAAAAGAAGCTGCATTTTCATTACAAACGACCATGATAATGTATCAAAAGAGGGGTTTAGATATCTGGTATGGGCCTTGGCTCTCCCCTATTGTAGATAAAACGAGGCTATTAATTTGAAAAATAATGGAAGTGTATTGTATTCTTTTCAACCACCACAGTAAGATGTACCTGAGATTCGGGAAGAGCTGCCCCTTCTAAAAGAAAGTGGGGCCTGGAAAGCATAAATGCTGTCCCCTTCTGCAATGGTGTTCAGATCCTCATCATCTGAGAAGGAGCACTGGAAACCTGACTGGTTTAGCTCAGCCAGAATTACCTGCAAGAAGACCAGTTAAGGATATCAACCTCAAAGAAATGGTGTTCAAGTCACAGGGTATAGTGCTCTCAGAGAGAGTATAAGAGAAAACTGTCTGGCTAACCTGGTCAGGTGAAATCTTGCCCTCCTCTGCCACCATTTCCCTCAACTTTGCCACAGTGCTGAAGAGAGGCACAGCTAGACCCACACGCACAAATCGCTGGCTTTTGGACTGGAAGACAAGAATGACATTCAAAGGCCTGGAAGAAAAGGGAACACAAGGGAATTTAGATGGAATACTAAGAATGCCCCCAATTCACACTCAACTCACATCCAGTTCATCCATCCATTCATTCATTCACTCACATAACTTGAGCTGCCTTGACTTGGTCATATAATTTGCTTAGATACATATTATTGCTTATGAACAAAGAATTGGATTGGATGGTTTCCTAATTTTTTATCACATATTTTGAGCATGGAGATTTGAGGTTAGATCACTGGGGACTCTAAGCGTTTGGACTGCAAAGTGGACTGCAAAGGAAGAACAGAGCTGAACTGACTCTGATAATAGAACACACCTCCTCTTTGAGCCCTGCTGTTTTCAAAGCAGTAAGAAACAACACCTTCTGCATCTTTAAGAATGTATCTGTAACCATGGATATTAATAATTACTCATTAAAAATAGTGTACTGTATATCCTTTGAATTTTGCAGAAGGAATCTCAAACCACACACACTACTATTTCCACAATAGCATAATACATAGAATGATTCCTGGACTGCTAGAAAGGTCTGTGTCATGGCACCCTTTCCATCCCAGTGCCTACCCACCACCCAGATATGTTGTGGCTACAACTTCCCAAATTCCCAACCAACCTGGCCTTTTTTTTTCAGTACAACCCTCATAAGATCTAAAGCTTGTACTGAGAAGAAAAGAACAGAGTTGAATTCGAAGGCTCAGAAAAGGGAGGCAAAAATGGGAAAGAAAGCAAGCATTCTAGAAGGCATCCAGGAATTTTCTCTCATATTCTTCCAGTTAATTAGGATGCAAAGCTAGAGAATAGGTGCTGCTTCAAAGCATCTAACTGTCAACTCTGGCAGAGGCCCATGAAAACTGATGTCTACTTAAGGTCTAAAACATGCAGGGTAATTTCTTCTATTTATGTGTGCTATGATTCATCCTTTCCTGACATAAGCAAAACATGGATGTGACCTGGTATTGGATGTACAGTGAAGAATTTCTCCTATAGCTTCTACCTAGCAGCATTCAGTGAGCACTTTCCTATGCATTCTTTAAATGTGTTGCCTAAAAAGATACTCCATGGTGGCTCTTTCTCTAAATTCAAACCAAGGGTGGAGAGCCCAATTTGGATGAGGGGCACAGTAGATAAGAAGGGTGGCTTTAACCCTTCCTTCTTTCAATGTGATCTTTAGCAATACGTAGCATTCACTGCAGTTTCTATCTTCAGTGGAAGACCCAGTGATGCTTCAAGTGGGTCAACCTGATCACAGGTTAGTAGGTATAAAATAGCACCAAGTTGCCCCATAGTGCTTCTCACAGCAGAGATAAAATGAGCCATGGAAGCTCAGCAGCTGGCTAAGTGGGCCAGTCCCTTTCTCTCAGCCCAGTCTACCTCATAGGATTGTTGCTATGGGGAAAAATGGAAAAGGGTATGTACGCTGTCTTGAATTCCTGATGGAAAAGTGAGATGTAAAGCTAACAAATACAAAAAATAAATAACAGTTTCCTTAAAAAGAGGGATTTGCTTTCTTATATTAGGTCAAAGAAGGTCTCCTGGATATATCCACTGCATATTCTACAGCAGGGATAAACAACTTTTTTGAGGTTAAGAGTTATGCTTCAAGAAGCAACAACAGGACCAGGACAAAAAATGAATTTAGTTCATTTAATTTATGTTTAAATAAATTACATTAAATATAATTGGTAATATTACTTAGCAAGTATATATTCATTCTCCCTTTCTGTCATATAAAAAAATACTATTTATTAACAATTTTTAAAAAAAATTTGGAGCAACACGTTGGGCTTACAGGAGACCTCAGATTGTGCCCCTCTCTTTTAGACCTAAGCTTTGAAGATCTGTATCAATATCAGTTTTTAATATTGAAGTGCAGATATATTTTATGCCAATTTTACTATGGGGAACTGACAGATGATATCCTGGAAACAACATTTACAAATTCTATAGCTATCTAACCATTTAGAAGTACAACTCACAGGGGTTCCAAAGATTCATATCCATAAAATAGCAGTTCGGAAAAAGCATTTTAAGAGATGTGAAAAAAAGTATGGAGATTTTGTTCTTTTTTCTCCTCATTGATAAAGGACTCAGGTGCCTGAGTCCCCACAATGGATACAGACATTTTTTAGCCTCTTTACTGCCAAGCACAGATAAAACCAAGAACCTGGAGGGAGTTCTAAAGATTTAAAGACTGGAAAGAAAGAGCAGAATGCAGGTGGGAGGGAAGGTAGAAAGTGGGGGGCACACTCAATCTCCCCAAGGTATTTGGAAATAGAAATTAAAAAGACTCCATTTTGGAAAAGCATAAATTCCAGATTGTGTAGGCAATTTAAAAAAAAAAAAATTCCAAGGGGAACAATAATCCTGTGTACTGTATCTTAAAAGCTAAGGAATTTATTCTAGCATAAGCTTCTTTAGAAAAGACTTTGCTACATCAGATATCTGAAGCTCTACTAACGTGCTTCTAAATTCAGAAAAAGTCTGGTAGCACCTCTTGGGACTACGGTAAGCATTTTATTTAAGGCATAAGCTTTCATGAGCTGGTTACCATAAATTAATAGGACTCTGCTCCTCCAATGTCTATGAGCTCCTGATTGGCTTCTCCCCTTTCCTCAGAACATACATCAAGTACAATCGGGACCCTGGAACTCTTGAGAACAATGTGATGACTTGAAATGCCATCACATTAGAGAGAAGATGGAAGATGGGGACAATATATAAAAGACACATTTAATCTACAGTTCAGGTTCCATTGCTCAGACTAAGGTTCTGTTTTGATAATGCTATGCACATACTGAAGACAGTGAGATTTATTTCCAAAGAAACATGCACAGGCTAGAGCTGTCAGTCAGACATATGCAGCCCAATCCTGTACATATTTATTCATGTTCAGATCTCAGGAGGGTCAGCACACTGCATCTTTGGAATTCAGATTGGTATGAGTCCTTCTGTCCAACTAACACTATTGTAAAAAACCTGTTCTGTAACCCTGTAACTCGAGAATTCAAACTAAAAAGAGGTAGGGACTTATCCTATTTTTTTTTAGTAGGACCTGGGAATTCTAGAAAACCATACTTGTAATGCTGTCGTTTTCTCATTTCCCAGCTTTCTGACTTCCCTAGAGCTCATGCATAGTAGGCTGTACCCTCAATGGAAAAAAAAAAGTTTTGCTAGTTTTAGGCCCTTGGCTCCCTGCTGTGGATAAACAGCTGCCAAAAAGTAGCAATTTCCAGCCCACGGCCTTTTTCTGACAGTATTTCTCACTCAGCCTGTGATGCTGAAATAAACAAGACAGTTCTAGTCCTCTTGTAGAAATAAGATGAGACTTCTGGACAGAAAGAAGAGAAAGTACTTTAGAAGCCTGCTCAGTATCCCAAAACAAGTTTGTTCTTGCAGGAACAGAAGGAAAAATGGACAACATGAAAACTGAATTCCTAACAGGTGGATTGTAACAAACAGTGTTCTGGTCTGGATATTCAGAACATTTAGGCAGTTCAAAAGACTTGGGGAGATTTTAGAAAAGGAATGGTGAATTTGGGGTCCTTCAGATGTTGCTGATCTATAGCTTCCAGAATCCATCATCACTGGCAACAACCTTTGCTCCCAAGGGCAATACCTTTTGTTGTTATTGACCTAAATAATATTTGGGCAATAAACTGTACCAACGCAGTTTGCACATGAAATCTGGATTTGTGATGAAAGTGGACTTTTAGCAAGATGGAAAGAGAAGAAAGATTAAATTCCAAATGTCTCAGTGTGGAACCTAGATTTTAAACAAAGCAATGGAAATTCTGAAATTCACTTCTGGATGCAGACATATTGAAAATATAAAGTTAGGAATGTCTGTCTTTTATCTTGGGCCCATCCCAAAGTGTTGGAGATTAACTAGACAGCCTATGTTATTTTCCCACCTTATGAAAAATTGGATGAAAGCATGGATGAAGCTCTTTATCCTAAACAATGAATTGTTTACATCATGGAGGAAGCAGACAATGCTTCAGCAGATTAAAGTAAGAAAGGGGTAGTATAGCAGTCAACATTCTCTCTGCAGAGTCTTTAGCTGATTCTCCTTATAACTTGAATATTACTCAATACATTCCAACATATCTTTTCTCTCTCTGCCCTTCCTAGGTACAAGGCAGCTTATTACAGTGGCCACTCCAAAGTAGCAATACTATCATTTTCTGGACAAGTTGCCTTCAGCCTGTTTGCAATTCCCCCTAGAAAGATAGGACAAATGCAAACTAATTCCACCATCATATAGAATGGTTCCTACACATATGCCATAGTAGAGCATTAGACTCCTGTGAAGAAAAGGAGACAACCAGCATAATATAGAGATGAGCCCAATTAATTGGAAGCAATATTTATTATGTGCCTCAGAAAGTATAATTGAATAGGAGGTCAAGTAATCAACTGACACCAAAAGGTTAAACTTAACCCAACTCCATTATTTAATTTTGGGATGACAAATATGGTGTTGAATGCTTGCACTAAATAAAGATGTGACAGATCTCTGCAAATCACCAATATGGATCCAACTCCTATTTTAATTTTTACTTTTCCTAAATAAGTCAAGGTGAAGAAAAGATTCCTCTAATTAATCAAAGGCTTGTTTTTCAACTTATATTAAGCTTAGATTACTTCATTTTATGACCAAGACCTCAGATATCACTACATATTGTAATGAGTGTCTACAACAGAAAAATCCATGAAGGAAAAGTCAGTCTGCTTTAGACATATGCATCATACCTAGAGGCACTTATGCACATCGACATATATCTACTTACCTTTGCTCCACAAATAGCAAACAAGGAAGAACGTGGGCAAGTCTTCCCACTACTACAATGGCAGCAGGCATTAGTCAACAAATGTAGAATATTATACTCTGCACTGAAAGAACTTGCCTGGCTCTCCATTCTGTGTGTGTATGTACCCTCAAATACTCACACGAGCCTAAAGTCTGTGGAAAAGCATTGAATATTGTGTGATCATATCAAGAGCAGCTGGTCAGTTCGTGCCCCACTGCTTTGCCAATTAGTTAAGTACCACAGAACTCTGGTTTGATTATTAAGGCAGAAATATATAACAAGTTTACAGGCTTCCTTTTCCCTCTTAGAGAGACTCACGTGCTAGGTGGCAATGAATTAATAACCAACATACTGCACAAGTGCTATGCATCAAAACTTGAAATATTTAACATGCATATCTCGAGAGAAAATATGTTCAGAAATACACATTTTGAGAATAATTACTTTATGTGAATTTTCATTTAAAAGAAAGATTAAAAAGAAAGACTAACCCACTGATTAGTGAGAAAGATGGTAAGATAGGTAAATGAATGCATGCAATATTAACAGAAGTGGAATTCATACTTTACATCCTAGTGAGAACACAGGAGAGCAACGTGATATGTGACCAACGTACCTGGTTTGACGCAAGGGGATGGGCAATGAGATACACAGAAAGGGATCAAAAGTATTGCTCTGTTTCCGGCAATGAGGGCAAGTCAATGAAGATCTAGGAAAAAAGGAAAAAAGAAATTCCACATCAAGGAAAACAATGCCAGCCTAAAAAAGTTGGCTTCTAATTTAGTATTCTTGAATATAAAGTTTATCTTCAACCTCTGGGCTAAAAAGGAAAACCAATGGGCTACAGATTGATTGCTAAAGTCCTGAGAATATCTCTCCTGTCAAACTTGCATACTGACATTTCTACAAACATTAGAAGCACTTTGATGAGGCCTGCCTCGTAAGTATACACAGCACTGATGTTTCACTCTCAGGTAAGATCTAGATAAATGGACTTCCAGGATCTCTCTCAATCTCTGAAGGGACTGGTTCTATTAGATTCCTCATGGTAAAACTACTGGAATGCATATCCAAACATAGCCTGTTTGGAATTACTATCATTACTTTAAATCAACTTTTGAGAAGTTAAGATCAGACAATCAACATATCTGTACTTTTACTCACATAAAATGACTTGTCATATACAAACACACAATAACCATTTTCTTCCAATCTCCAGGAACAATTGGCAACAGCTTTCTCTATACTATTTTAGCTAGTTTCTTTCTACAAGAATTGGCAGCTCATATTTTTACACATATGCCAAAATAACAATGTATTTTAAGGCTTTTGTTAATTAGTGATTTTTTTTACCCCCTCATATAGCTTGGTCTGGGATAGGGGCATAATATGCTCACTTATTCATACACTGAAAAACAGATCTCATAGTTAACACCTATAAAAATTTAATCATCATTTTGCCTGCCAACATTATATCTGTTCTTCACATCAAGTCGAAGGAAGGAAGGAAGGAAGGAAGGAAGGAAGGAAGGAAGGAAGGAAGGAAGGAAGGAAGGAAGGAAGGAAGG